TGTTATGTAAATAGCAGTTGGCATGTAATTAAAGGGTTAAGTTGTGTATGCTCTGAATATTTTGGTAAACTTATATTACAGTATGTATATTATTGTATTTTCTTAATATAAGATCAAATATTTTACTATTATTTATTAAGAGTTGTGTTTTAAAGTCAATGTAGTATCTCTGGCTCATATCCGGGTCGGGTATGGGTTGGGGGTGTTACAACTATCGCAATGCGAAATGAAAATCGCAACGCGAAATGAAAATCGAAACGAGAGAATCACAACGTGAAATTAAAATCACAATGCGAAACTAAATTCGCGTTGCGATTTTCATTTCGCTTTGCGATTCCCTCGTTGCGATTTTCATTTCGCATTACGTTTCTCTCGTTGCGATTTTCATTTCGCATTGCGATTCTCTCGTTGCGATTTTCATTTCGCATTGCGATAGTCATTTCCGCGTTGCGATAGACATTAAGATGATTGCGAACGTCATTTCCGTGTTGCGATAGTCAAATGATTGCCTAATAAGTGATAGCAACTGAACAGATCATAGCAATTTTCAAACTCAAGTTACTAATACATCCCTAACTGAAAATGTTAAAAGTTCACACATAAAATCTACATAATACAACGTTTGCATTTAAAAATCACCTAAGTTAACAGTCCCAAAAGGTGAAGCCAGTTGTGATTGGGATTTTAAAGATGATTGCGATTTTGATTGCCTTTTGCTTGACACCATATGAGCTTTGGATTTTGATGAGGATCCATATTTTGGTAGAGGAAAAGATGATTGTGATGGCACTGGTGATCCACATGTCAACCTTGTATGACCACTTTCCTTGCACCGACTACATGTCGATCTCTTCTTCTCTTCACCCTTAGACGGTATACGATCGTGACTTTTTGGTCGGCAAGGTAGCCTTCTGTCCATGGCTGGTGGCAAAACTGTTTGTAAGTCATCTGGTATGTCCCACTCAGAAGGATGTGGAATAGGGTAGACAATCTCGCCATAAGTCTGTCGATATACTTCTGTAGTGTAGCAATCCATAGCGTATGCGCTTGAATCATCTTGGTTTAGATGAAGAGAAACTTTTATAACATGGCCACACGGATAACCAGATGTTTGCCATTTCATACAACTACACGTCTTTGCATTTAGATCGACAAGCCCATTTAAGTTATTATCCAGTATTTCAAACAAAGTGTTTAAACAAGGTTCAACTCTCCATGACGTTGACTTCACAACACGTTCGTTATCTTTTTTTCTGTCCATGGTGTAACACGATGTTCCAATGTTCCTGTAAATTTAAATAAATAATACTTAGTAAAATATATGATAAGTTACGAATTTAAAGAAATAATACCTGCATGGTTTCTTTTCTTGTAGTACCACTGTTGAATAGAGGCTCGAAAAAACTCCATTAACATAGTAATGGGTAATTTCCGGGAATGACGACTTAGAGCGTTGATTGATTCTGCACTATTAGACGTCATGAAACCATATCTTGCTCCAAGTTGATGTACTTTTGACCATCTTTCAAACCCGATATCTTCTGGTGTTTGAGCACATTGAGGCAAAACACGTCTTAAACAGTTTATATACTTATTAAAATCCACTTCCCGATAAGCTTTTACAGCCTTCCAGTATGTCCATTTGTGATTTTTTATACCAGCAGACCTTGATTTTAGATTTCTATACAAATGAACACCACAAAGTCCATGAAAAGCATCTGGGAAACACCTTCTAACAGCGTTGTCAATTGAGTTTGCCCTATCGGATATGATTTTCAGATTGCTAATAGAACCTATACAATCCCTAAGATGCCCCATAAACCATGTCCATGAATCAGAGGTTTCAGATTTGCCAACACCGTAAGCTATTGGCAATATCCCATTGTTAGCATCCATGGCTACTGCTAATAAGTTTACTCCAAGGTATCGACCTTTCAAATATGCTCCGTCAACTATAATAACTGGGCGCATGCAAGTAATAAACGAACGAATCTACAAAATAATATACACAAGAAATATAATCATTTAAATGTGAAATACATGTAACTAACAAAAATGAGTCAACATAATTATATTGATTTACTAACCGCAGCACCAATGGCGATAAACAACAACTCAAAGTGTCCATCTCTATCTGTTTTGATATGAGTTACCGACCCAGTATTTTTCAGCTTTAAATTGTGACAATAAGCCGGCAGTTGGGCAAACGATGCTTCTGACGACCCCTCAACAATTCCAAAGCATAATATTTGGCTCTCCAAGCTTGAGAATATGATATACTAATCTTGAATCGAGCATTCATGTCAGTCATAATTTCATGTCCCCGATATACCCTGCCATTCAAAAACATTAACTCAGCCAGAAAACCACTCAACACCTTTTTGTTTGTCTGTCTATGGTGAGGAAAAACTTGGGTTCTTGAACATGTATGTTTATCAATAAAAGTCCTAACTTGAAACATTTCGCAATCTTTTATCCTCTTTGCAATCATACGCCACGTACAATTTTTGTCAATCATACACCTTGTTTCGAAACGATCTTTGCTTGATTTGTTAACTTTTAGTTGATAGCCATCTTCCACACATTTCGTATACAAAGCTATCTTCAAGTCTTCCTTTGTATCAAAACAATCATCTTCCTTGATACGAATAACTTTTGTGTAACAATCAACTGCTTTCTTTACCAACTCCTCTTCCGGTATCTGAAGTAATTCTGGCATATTCCAGTTATACTCCCGTGGCATTTTCTTTTCTTCGGGGACTTTTTCTTCTTCTTTTTCTTCTTCAGGATTATATGAATTACAGAATGGATGTTCAACATGTTCATTCACAGTCGTAACTTCCTCCTCATTATCATCAACAACATCTTCCTCGGCAACGGCTGTTTCATCATCAAAATTCGGGTATTGACCAATATCAAAATCATTACACGCAGTGTATGTTTCTTCTTCTGAAACATCATCAAAATCCGAGTATTGACCAATATCAAAGTCCGGGTACTGACCAAGATCAAATTTCGAATACTGACTAGTACTCACAATTTTTTCTGTTGGCTCATCATCGTCTAATTGGTCAATACGAAAACCGGAATTTGGTGCTGAAAGTTGATTGGGATTTGGATTAGAGAAAGGTTGTGGGTTTTGAGAAAAACTTAGTTGATTACTACCCGCTACTGACCCAACAATACTACTTCTAGGTTCAACAACATACAATGTAACATCATCACTTGAAACACTAATGTAAGCAATGAATCGTTCAACATCTTCATTGTCGGTTAACAAATAAACTTTACCATTTCTCTGATAAGATAGCCTAAATCCACTTAGGGGCTCTAAATTCAATTTCTTTGAAACATGTAACATTAGAGTTTCATAAGTTAACTTTTTTTAATGACAGTTTTAGTTGAAGATTCATGGGTAAAGGCATATATTGTAAAACACCATGAACATTCTCCCATGACCCTCCAAAACACAAATCTATCCAAACATGATCAATATTAGATGATTTCATGGTTGTAAATTAATTTACTAAACAAACGAGCTGCGAAACTAAGACCTGTTGCCGGATGGGGAAGGATGTAGAAACGGATATAGGAACGGATGTCGCCGGAGAGAGTGATAGATGGAGATGAAATGAGTTGCGATTTAGGGATTTAGGTTATGAGTTGTTGCTGCTGCGTAGATATATACCCAAAAAATTTGTGTTGCGAAACTAAAAACCTATTGCGAACTTTGAAAATCGCATTGCGATTCTGTATTATCTCGTTGCGATAGTCAGAATCTCGTTGCGAAAGTCAGAATCGCGTTGCGAAAGTCAGAATCGCGTTGCGAAAGTCAGTATCGCGTTGCGATTTTGTATTATCGCGTTGCGATAGTCAGTATCGCATTGCGATTTTGTTTGTCATTTTGGCATATCCGGAAAAAGTTGGTTAAAATCGTATATTATATGGGATTTTTGGTCACTGATGTTATTTTCTCTTAAAAGATCAAGAAAAAAATTCTAAGCATCTTTGCGGTGAGCGTGGATCGAACACACGATCTTCAATCCGACGCTCTCGCAACTGAGCTATCCCCGCTGTTGTGCTATGGATTATAACACATTTTTATATCGATTATTCTTTTGGCTGCATTGATGAACACTGGACAGCTTTTAATGTAAACCCAAACTTACAAACATTTGCCCAAATGGGAAAAATAGAAAAAAAAATTAAGCTCGGAAAATCCTTAATAAAAAATGATACTTTTAATTAAAAATAATTTATAGGCAAAAACTATAAATTTTTAATAATTTTAGTAAATAATACTTTTAATTAAAAAATGACATGACTCAAATTTAAAACTCTTTAAAATATATAAAATATGCAAGCTTAACCCCGAACTTAAAAATAAAAGCTTCTGTAACAAAGAAAAACCTTTTCACTTACAGTTGGTTTAGAGGGGGGAAATCTAATATATATATTTTGATTTTTGATAGTAAAAGTTGATAATTATTTTAAAATTTAAACAATGCAATAAATTGTCTCTTAGTACAAAAAATTATGGTAAAAATTCAAATTGAATGAGTGATGATTTCATTTGCTTTAAAGAAAGCAAGCAGTACATATCTAATAAGGAAAGACAAAATTGTTTATAACGTATAATAATCTCCAATTTGTAATCTCCAAATCATGGTTGTTCCTCTCGGCCCCGGCAAGTTCTACGGCAGCAGTCTCCCTCGGCTAAGTGGCGGATGTACTAAGCCCCGTAGAGGCCAAATACATTCCATTATTTAAAAAAAAATAGTTAAATTTAACTTAATGTGTTAAGGAGAAAAATTAAAATTTTTCCTTGCCTATTATTTTTAAGAAAAGAAAATTAAAATTTTAGATTTCATTCTTAAATTTTTTTGAATCCGTCGCTGCCTCGTATCTATACCGTGACCCGGTTCAACTCTGAACGCGTGGATCCTCCGGTTCCGGTTCTTGATCCGCTGCTGTCCTGGGCCAATGAAGCGCATTGGTCCATGGGCGGTCTCAGTTTCAAGCGTCTTCGTCTCCAAGGGCGGATCGAAGGCAACGTTAAGAGACTGAGCCCAGAGCGAGAAGCTCCTTAACGACAAGGATGATGATCCGATTCTTAATAAAACCAATAGGGATGCTTCGGTGTCTCCCCATTCTGCTCCAACGGCCGTCAAGAGGAGGAGATTCTTTGACCTTAATGACGATGGCGAGAAGGAGGATGTGGATGGCGATGAAATGGTGGTGAAGAGAGAAGCTAAGAGGGTGCTGAGGAAAGGGGCTGTGAGGAAACTGGGAGATGATTTTGAGAGAGTGGCCAATGATAAGGATAGCGCAGGACGAGTAAAGAGGAGTTTCAGCGATGGTATCGGTATTGATGTTGAGTCCGAAGTGGTGAATAAGAAGTGGATTGTAAAGGGGTTGAAGAAGGGTAAAGACGAATTGCAACCGAGTGGGACAAAGACAATAACAAGGTGTTATCCGAGATTGGCAAAGCGTGGTTGATAAGTAAGCTTAACTTGTGTTTAGAATATCACAGGACGTTCAATGGTGAAGGGACTTCAAAATCCCAACCTTAACATAATCACTCTTTGATTTGTAAACTTTGCAGTTTCGTACAATTAAGAGAGCTTTTAGCAATGAAAGAATTACTGGATTGGATTCATTCAAGCTATTTTATTGGCTGTGAATGTAATTTCTACTAAAACCCACCATTAAATGGGGTTCATTCAAATTTCTAACAAGAACCCAGAATCAGAATCATTGTAGATAGTTCGCAGCTGCTAGGAAAATTTGGCAGCAAACTTGCAATCATGTACCATATATATATATATATCTGCATATCTACTTAGCTATATAGTAATTTGTATGGATTTGAGGAAAAAAAGAAAAGATACAATACCAAATAAACTTATACCTCGCACAAACTACTTAGTCAGAAATAATCAAATCGAATTTTCTGATTGTGTCGTCTTCACTTGGAACACAGATGTTTTAAGTTTTTGTTTTCTTCAACAAGTCCTTGGATTCTAGCCAATTTGCACGATTGTTCTACGGTCAGTTTGTAGATCCGAGGGAACTCCCATGGTACGATCCCAAAATCATCGCTATATTCTGCCATTCCTTCAACAAAGTATTGCCAGACTAAGGCACCTGCCCCAGACCCTTTCTTCTTTGCAGATTTATAAATGATGTCCAGAATGGTTCTATAAAACAGCTCTCTTTGGGTTGGCTGGTAGTCTCTGTTCTGATCTGACAAGCCATATTCGGTGAACATAACTGGCTTCTTCAGTTCCTTGTCGCAATCTTCAATGTGCGAGCGCATCCACTTGGAAACGTAGTTCAGTTTTTCTTTGAACCCCAGATGATGAAACCTACCAAAGAGGGTACGAAAAAAAAAAAGATTAGAGAAAATGCTCATTGAAGAAACAGCAGTGCCTACTAGAAAATGATAAGGCTTCATTCTGTATCGTGCAAAAGATCTTTTACATACATACTGATACAATTTCATAAAGAGCGGTCGATATTGCTTACCATTGGTCGGCGTATATATGAACAGAGGCAAAATCAACATGTGTAATGTTCGAGTTGCGCATAAAATCAGACCCAAGGAGTGAGGCCCACTCTTCCGGATTCACAGTTTTCTTCTTGGGGCTTTTTGGACCATAAAATCCTTCTAAGCCGATGGTCAATAAATGGTTTTTATCTATTGATTTTATGAAAGAGGACATCTCTTCTAACCAATCCTACAATGGAATGCCGTAAAATTGAATTCACATTAAGATACGAAACGATATATCTTGGAAGAAAGTAAAACCTCGCTCTTTGAGGTGAACACATACAACATATAAAAACCCGTTTTCTGAAATATGAACATTTTGCACAACACAGTCGCATTCATCTAAGTTAAGGATAATTGGTCTAAAGATTATACAGACTTGGTGCTTAAAAGAGCATGTGTACGGTCTGATCTCATAACTTACTTGAAGAGTATCCCCAGAAGGATCGGTCATGCAACGAGGTTCATTCATCAACTCCCAAGCAAAGATGGTGGGATCATTCCGATATTCGGTCCCAGTGATGGTGTTCCTCCTGGTGAGGACAGTCTAGGAGAAAGAAAAACATCACAATAAAATTTCATTGCACCTTAGAAAAGCATTTTTGAAATTATTATCCATCAAATATAGAAAAAGAGTATTGTCAGAAGAAACTACATTATCATATTTCTTAAAAGTTCGTAATGAGGTTCGGTCCATAGTCCATACTCTAAATTAGTAGAAGAACCCGGAAAGATACTGTTTTCCAACTTATTGGCCGGCACCCGAAAAGAATCTTACTTGTGCCATACTGTCTAATATGCTCAAGCTCATAATGATGAATAATATTTTTGCATTTTCAAAAGGCAGAAATTAGGCTAACATAACCCTTATTTTTTAGAAAAGAACGAAAAATGGAACTATCCTACAGATTTCCCTTCTGTCCAAAAATGAGAAAGAAAAAGGAAAGCATAAAAAGCTTCACACAGAGTATCAACACATTTCCTTTCACTTCCGGTTCTCTTTCACAATCAAATTGTTCAAGTTACTTTTGTGTTTGTCATCAACAGGCGAAACGCCTGGTAATTGTTGTTTACAGGGCTATATCCAATAAGGAGTAAATTAATAAGCAAGTTGATGCGACATTTGCAGCATCGGATTCCCCTTTGAACATTAAGATTTGTCTATTTCAATAGTGTAATGTCAGCACTCCAAGAGCAATTCACAGAAGATATGCAGTTATAGATATGCTTTGTGATGCAGGGGAAGAAAATTCTCATCATTCAAATATGAGAAAATAAGATTAGTGAAACTTAGATAGACGATGAGATACCAGGACGTAATTCTTGAAATATTTGCGGATTGATGGATCAAAGAAGAAGGAATCATTAGAAGAACTCAAACCAATGCCTTCTTGCCACGCCCAGTTGACATACTGCGTCTTTCCGCCATATGGTTGCAAGTTATTTACTAAGCTAAGAAGCAGCCTGACTCCATGTTGCCTTGCTTCTGCAATGACATAATCCAAGGCCTGGAGAAACTGATATTCGTCAACATAAATGAAAATAATTGAGAAAATATACTCTACAATCATACTAACTGACATTAGAGAGCGAAACTGAGTTGATGAATCAAGGATTTTTGACAGACTTCTAATCAAGCAGCCTAGAAATAGAAGCAATTTGAAATCTGAATTGCTTATCCTGCTATTCTCTTTCATTTCCAACTATCTAGGTTACATTTTTAGAAAGCCCTATCATATTTATATTCAAGACAATCCTAGTTCAGATTAGCAACTGTACAATAATCTACATCTTCAATATGCACATTGCATATCTCTTGTAAACTTGAAACCGAAACCACGCATGTATTAAACACCCAGATCATATAGGATTGAGATTATACAGCTGATAATTTGCAATGCAGATATCAAAATATACAAAAAGAAAAATCTGAATCTCTAACAAATACCTTGAAAATTCGCTCATCGAATTGCCCTGGGGAAATCTGGAGAGCATTATAGCCACCGTCATTAAAGGCCCAGGTTCTACAAACAGTGAGACCCATCCTTGCACCAGCTTGAAGCATTGCACTGACCTTAGGCCTAGTATTTTCCTCCACAGAATGGGACATTAACCAGTAAGAATTCCAGCCATTAACGTACAATGGTTTCCCATCTAAAAAGAATCGAGTCCCATTCCTTTCCACAAAACTTAATCCCCGTTCCCTAGGGAAACTACTAAGCTTCAAATCACCAAAAGACATGTAAATAAAAGCCACACACGAGGCAAATCCAAGAATTGGGTATAACATCCCATTGCCAGCCATCGTCTTCCTATATATAGTAAGCAATCTGAAAATCAATTAACATGCAAAAATCCCAGAAAAAAAATAAGAAAAAAAGATAGATTATTTGGGTACCCTTCTGGCTCTATTTTAACGAAGTTCCAAAATTTGAGGATACCCAAAGTGAAGATTACATACTTACAGTACCTTAAACTCCAATGTGAACGCATATCCTTCTTCATAAGGTCACGCACACAAAAAAAACAGTATAAAAGATGACTCCTTTCAAGGCATAACAAACAGAGGCAGATAGATTTGCATTGCAAGTTTAAGGGGTTCTATTTAGGATTTGGAGGGTTTTAATACCAGAAAACGAGACCACATTAAGGAACTGAAAAGGAAGGGCAAAGATTAAGACAGTTTCAAAGACAAATGTAAGATTGGGATGGAGGAATGTTGGTATCATCAATCTCAGATATAAGCACTGCACCTGATTTCCCCACAGTTTCCTTGGATTTTACTTAGTTACTGAAACAAGCAAGTCTCTTTTATTCAACAACACCCGTGGATTGGATGGCCCATGTTATTACCTCCCCCTGTGAAAAAAAATGAATATTTACTGGGAAAAAACACTACGAAAATTATAATAATAAAGAAAAAGAATCCCGACCTTCATGTGCAAGGGAACTAGGATTCTCTTGGCGTTTGCAACTGTTAAAGTCTTGAGCTTTTCCTCTTGTTTTCTGATTTAAAATAGGTTAAAATAAGAGTGTGGGATTCCATTTGTTTTGGGATATATGGTCGCATCTGATATGAAAAATCTGATTAGGTGAAGGCAACCTCTTAATGATGCCCGACAAAAGTTTTCCCATGTGAAGAGCCCGACAACGTGGGCTACACTCATTGCACGTCTATACTTACACAACTTCTTTCTCTCGTGAGAATTTTTCCTTTGATTGTTACTTTATTTGACAAATTAATTCTCGGTCATGTAATCAGCCTCTACTTTGAACTATTTCGTAGGCAAACGCAAGACTTTTTCAGATTTGGTATTTATAAAAGTTTTGATTAAATTTGGACTTGAAAAAGTAATTTTATTAATGTAATAAAATTTATTTAATTATATTAATTTCGTTCTTTAATTAACATTGATAGTTAATAATAATAATAATATGACGATTCATGCTTATGATGTAATAATCTACGATACTGACAAAATGATTCATATATAAATAATTACATTTTTTTGTGTAATCATTGGTTTTTGATTTATTAATCGACTAATCCGGATTGTGTACTACAAAGGCAAAGATAATCCTCCCAATCCAATTTGCTCAATTCGCAAATGTCAATATTCAAATTCCTGACATTTGCTTAAAGGATCTAGTTCCTCATCCCACTATACCAACTGATTGTTAGTTATATGAATATTACATTGACACAATACTTTAATTGATTTTTTCTTAATTTGATACATAATTTATTATAATTAAACTTTTGATGAATTATTTAATTTTAAAATAAAAAAAATATTATTGACATTTTAAAAGTATTAATGATTATATATATATAATTTTTTTTTTCAGAAAATAAGTAAAAATTAAAAATATCAAAGCTATAATTTTAAAACTATAAATTTCGATTATATACTATTATTTATTGAACATGTCTTTATAGTAGTGA